CTACCACGGCCCCGGCCTCGCTACCTGACTTCGCGGCAGATGAACATGCTCTGTTTGTTTGGCAGCATGGTCGAGAAGGTCTCCCACAGTGCCGACACTGCCTCCGACAGTGTGATTCGTGGCATAACTTACGAATACACATCTCCACCAAATCCTGCCGAACTTTGGTCCCAGACGGCTTTAACGCCCTACCCCCAAAACACAATCTCAACCCGACTCCCCTGTACCACAGACCTGAATGTCAGCTTTACCTAGTCGGAAGTTGGGAAAGGCTCGCCTCCTGGCTGAAAAAGATGCTCCCTCAGGCAGTCCACCACTGCCCGTACTGTCACCAGTGGCTGACCCAAGCGCGTGGCCTTCGAGCTCATATTAAAGCCAAACACTCCCCAATGATCCCTTGCTGTGAAGAGGCAGTCCAACGCATGCAATCCCACCGCAGGCTTTTGGCCCTTGGTAGCACCTGTCGCTACTGCAGCCTCTCCTTAACAGGAGCGCCCATCAAGCACGCCACTGAGTGTGCAGTCCTGTTCCTGGTTCATTTGCTACAGGCCACGCATGCGCTACATCATTCGAACCACCTGCCTCAGGTCCGCGATGACTCTCAGCCCGGAAGACCTGGAAGAAGCCACTCAGGAGCTCAAGAGCATCGAAGCGCAGGTCCGGCTGATACCCAAGCAGCCCCAGCCCCTGATGGCCCCAACGACACTGATGAGCGAACCCCCACCACAGGGAGGCATGCCGGACTCCTCGAATCCCCCATCGACGGAAGTCCCCGACAGACCTTCCAAATGGCAGAGGGACAACAGCAAAGGAGCCACCCAACCAGGCAAGGGCAAGGGCTCAACAGGCCGTGGAGCCCAGGGCCAACAGAACCCTGCCAACCGCCCTCCACCTCAGGGAGGCCCGCCAAGACGTCAAGGAGGTCGCCCATCCGGATACCACCCCCAACCCCCATGGCAGCGACAAGGACAGGGATACGGGCCTTCTTCAGGTCCCGACCTCACTCTCATGTGCCACACCATGGCCAGACTCCTCATGAGACACGAGGACGCTCTCTCAGTCCTCCAGCAATCCACCACCTGGATCCTCTTCCTCACGACTCAGCCCCCGGGCACTGTCCTCCCCAAGCTGTTCGCCACAGCCCAAGGATGGCACGAGCTGCGGTGGAACGACCCGGAATCCATCACCCATCCGATGCGCATCATTCTGTGGCAGAAACTGATGCTCGAGCTGTCTCAGCGTGCCCAGAAGGTCATCGACCAGGAGGATGCCCGAGAACAGGCGATTCAAATGGAGCTCTACAACCCGACCACGGGGTTCGGCTACCGCAAATGGAACAACAAGGAGGGTGTGATGCAGCCCATTCCCGATCGCGAACCGCTCACGGCACAGAAAGTGGTGGAGATTGCCAAGGAGCTAGCGACGCTGAGTGTCCAACCGCAACTGCTCAACAGGTTCCATGCCACTCGCCAGCTGGAGGAGAAAATGGAAGGCAGCACAGTGACCTGGCTATTGGAAGTGGGCTGGAGGGGCGAGCACACGGCTCGCTTCTGGGAGCTGCTCCAGCTCCTTTCACACAATTCCTCTCTTCTGATGATCGGTTGCACCCTTCGTCCGGATCGCCTCCAGCGATCGGCCTTGGCCCAACAGCTGCAGACCCTCCTCCAGTCCATGCACATCCCTATGCCGAGACAGCCGCCGAGACCTCAGCCCTGCTCCCGACATTGCAGCTCCGCAATCCTTCCAACTACTGTTACTCCCATGCCTGCCTTTTCATCTATCTTTGGCTTGTGTCCCAAACCCCCTCCTCCTTTCAGGTACTGGACAGGGAACCGTTGAGGAGCTTCATCGCCCAGGCGCGCAAACAACAACCAGTGACACTCTGGTCGCTCCTCCCGTGGAGGCAGGCAATGCGACGCTGGTCCAACCCAGCCAGGCAACATGATGCAGCGGACTTCCTCCTCCACTTACACCAAGTCCTCAATGCGCCCTGCTTCCAGGGCCTCTGGCAGTCCTTTGACGACAGCCACATGCTTCAAGATGAAGGCGGGGTCTGCCCACTCATACTTTCAGGAATGCAAGATGCCTCTGCCACAATTGCCACCACTGCCCAGTCCTGCATCAATCGCTGGTATTCGCAGAAACGTCGCCACGCCCTGATTGCAGGTACTGAAGCTGTGGCTGTACAGCTCAACCGCTTTCGCAATGAACAGGGCATTGCATCCAAACGTGACCATCGCATAGATGCTGATCCAGAAGTCCTTTTCCCACAATGGACTCCCTCTTCCCCTGAAGGTATCATTTGGAGAACGTATCAGCTTCAGGCGATTGTCCAGCATATCGGACCGACCACGGTCAGTGGGCACTACCGTGCTGCACTCAAACCTCGTTCCGGAACTGCCGGCCCTTGGCACTACACTGAAGACAACAGTGCTGCACAATCAGTCCTCCCTGCTGCCTTGTCCCAAACAAGTTATATCCTCATTTACCGGATGAGGAGTGCTGCAACTTCCATCTAGGCCCTTCGGGGCAGTCTGGCTCTGTAGCTAGGTGAGTCGATCCAATCGAGATCGAGCGCCACAGCGCGCCGGGTGACCCCGCTCGAGTCATCGCAATGCGACCTCACCGTCCGCAGCGAGTGTGATGATGATACCACCACCTCTGCCACTGACCGCTACTCCTACTTACTACAACTCCCTAACACTACCACTCGCACTACCACTACCACTCCCACTACCACTACCACTATCACCCCTACTCCTACTCCCACTCCCATTCCCACTACGACTACAATTGCTACTACTACTACTACTACTACTACTACTACTACTACAGGGGGTCCTAGTAGTGTTTATGGGGGCCGCCCCCCCGGGATACGTTAACTCTCTGGTTATCCTTAACGGGAATGGAATGTATCCTGGGGGGCCTCGGAGACGCTCGTCGTTCTGGTCGTTTTTCGGGTTTGGTAGACTGTTGGTGGGTAGCCGAGACCTACAGAGAACATACTCGACGGATGCGAAGCACGAACCTTCTACAACAACTCATCTGGATGGCACGTGCTTTTTTAGCTCGACTTCGGGACTGCTGCCGTCGTCAGCTCGGTAAGGCACTGCGAATTGGTTTCTCACACAACAACGCATCACGTCTGTGCTTCTCTAAAGCCCTTCACCTTCTAAAGCTTTCTCAGAGCCTCTCCGCTTCTAGAGCTCTCTCCTTCTCTCAAGCCTCTCCTCTTCTGGAGCTTTCTCTCTCGCCTCTCCTTCTCTAAAGCCTCTCCGCTTCTAGAGTTTCTCCTTCTCTAAAGCCTCTCCTTCTCTAAAGCGTCTCCCCTTCTAGAGCTCTCTTCTTCTCTAGAGCCTCTCCTTCTCTGAAGTCCCTCCGCTTCGAAAAGTCTCTCCTTGTCTAAAGCGTCTCCGCTTCTAGAGCTCGCTCCTTCTCTAGAGCCTCTCCGCTTCTAGAGCTCCCTCCTTCTTTAAAGCTCTCTCCGCTTCTGGGGCTCTCTGCTTCTCTAAGCGTTTCCGCTTCTAGAGCTCTCTCCTTCTCTCAAGCGTCTCTCAAGCGTCTCCGCTTCTAGAGCTCTCTCTGTCTCTAGAGCCTCTCCGCTGCTAGAGCCTCTCCCCCTTCTATCTGTCATGGAAGCCAGTTTGACACGTTTGGATGGCTAGCGTTGATGGGGTTCCTGTGTAAACACCGGGATCCAAATGGCCGTAATAATCGGTTTGAAAACGGCACCGGGGTAACCAATTCCGGGCCGATGCTGGCTGGAATCCCTGCAAGGTACATTACGGTACAAGGATTTCAGCCGGTTGGAATCCCTGTGGAACTGGCTGAATTTAGGCTGGAGGGTCAGGGATCTCAGCCAGGAGCAAGCAAGGGGGATATGTTAGGCCAGAGCCTGCATATCTGGATGCATCGTGGTCGTACTTCCGCATGGACAACAACTCGGTGGTTTTCACCCACACGGGATGCGTCAAAGGCCACGCCGCAATGTCTCGACTCGAAGAGCAAACTCCCGCAAGAAGTCCTCAAGTGCATGCTGCCCTCATCCACACCTCTTGAACAAGCATCCGCACACAACCCTCCAGGAACCAGTGGCCATGCGCTGGTGCACAACCAGTTTGTCCTACACGCGCTGTATTGCAGTTCAAGAGACGGGAACTTGCTGCTTGTTCAGCTCCAGTCTAAACCGAAACGTTGTCAACATGCACTCAAGACCCCCCCCCAGGATACATTCCAAACCCCCCCCAATGTATTCCACTTACCCGCGGGCCCCCCCTGGATACATTAGTTAGGGACCCCTGTCTACTACTACTACTACTACTACTACTACTGCTACTGCTACTGCTACGACTACTACTACTACTACTACTACTACTACTACTACTACTACTACTACTACTACTACTACTACTACTACGATTACTACTTCTCCTGCTGCTGCTACTACTCCTACTCCTACTCCTAATTACTCCTGCTGCTGCTGCTGCTGCTACCGCTACCGCCACCGCGACCGCGACCGTTACCGCTACCACTACTGCTACTGCTACTGCTACTGCTACTGCTACTGCTACTGCTACTGCTACTGCTACTGCTACTGCCACTGCCACTGCCACTGCTACTGCTACCACTACTACTTACTCTTCTGCTACTACTTATTCTTCTGCTGCTGTGTCTATTACGAGTATGACGACCATCACAACCACCACAGCCACCAACACCAGTCCGACTACCACAATCGCGGCTGCGACAAATACATTCGGGATGACAACAAGGAGTATGCTTGCCACACGCATGTCGCTACAGCTGCACCCACAGCGGCAGCTGCAGTTGTTACTGCTGCTCGGCTGCTGCCTCTCTACCTGCCCTTAGAATCAGCTCGTAAAAGCCTGCCTCGACTCTGCTCCAACGTTTAGGAGTCCAGTGTCGTGGTACATCACAGAAATGTCCATGCACGCAACTGGCCCTAAATCAGAGCCAAACCGTATTTGTGCTCAAGGGTCTCGTTGCTCTTCAGCAGCGCGACATTGGTGGAGACGCTTACGCCTGCAAAGCTTCAGTGCTGCCAACATGGAACCGGCAACGATACTTTCGGGTTTGCTCAAGTCAAGCTTGCAAAGCCTTGACCAAAAGCTGAAACAGACGGGCATCTGAGTTCGGGAAGCTCTGGATTATTGTCAGCATGCACGCGGCAGACTTAAGAAACAGTGTATACGGCTCTTGACGAGAAGTCCGTCTCCACAGAAGCTCATAATCGACTATGCAGTCCAAAACTCCTGAAGAAATCCCATACGCACCAGACCACTAGCCCCAGCCCAGGCTGACACCTCACTTTGCTTTTCTGCCCCGCCTGAGGCGATAAGGAAAGACTCCTTACACATCCTGGGCGACTGGAGGATAGAATACGTGCTTCAACAATGCTGCCGACATTTTGAGACTTGGCGCCATGTGTGCAAGGCTGCCATCCTAACTTCAGGTCGTGGGTGGGGGGAGGAGGGGGAGAGGACTGCGGGACGGGAGGGGAAGGGCGGCAAAAAAAAGAAAGGGTAAGCGGGGGAACAGATGTGGAAGGGGCGGCGGGCGGGTGAGTGATAAGAAGCCGGGGAAAGCCGGGTTCGCATAACAAAAAGCAGACGGCTTCTTCCCTTATGCGAGCCTGGCCCTCCCTTACGGACCTGGCTTATCCTTACCCGATAGCACTGTGGGATTGGCATGGGAAGCCAATGCAAGCATCCCCCCGGGACTTGCTCGTGCACATTTACTCATGGATTGACATTTTGAGGTGTCCTGCTCGCTTCTCTCCGGAGTAGACAGAGAAGCGGCTACTTCGTTAAAAGAAGAAACTCACTGCCCTGGTTCAGCCGTTGGTTCATGCATTCGGCCTGCTTCTTAAAGGTTTTAAAGGGATCTTCAGGGTCGCCCCAGCGCGCACAGAATCCGAGTCTGAGATTGTTGGTTTTAGCGTCCGCTGGATAAGCATTCGCTGGCGGCCGGCAGTGTCGACGACAAGTCCATTCCTCGGCTCGGCGGCTCTGCTGGCACTTCGTCACTTCGTCTTACTTCGTCTTCTTTGGAGTCTACGCGGATTATTGATTATTGCATCGTTTGTAAGAGCTTGTCGTCTCAACGAATGTGTTCTGTTTCAGATTCAAGCTTCCGTTCTAAGATGTTTTCGTTGAAAGGCTTTTGTGCTGACAAACCCTGGAGGCACCAGGCTTTCAAGTTCGCATCTCTCATGCCCGAATTGCTTAACTAGGGGCTAGCATACAAACAACAGTCTCCGAACCTTCAGTACGGTGGCCTAGAGATCGAGCCCTCCACAAGACCTGGACCTAAACCCGAAAGCCCGCGTAGAGAAATGAGAAAGCGCCGGGCTTCGTCTGGGCTCCTGCGCTCTTCGCAGCATCTACCAGCCTCACCACATTTCGCAAATAGTTGCTTGAGGGTGCAGGGTTGAGGGCCTGGCCCGGGTCAACAAAGGATACTGGTTGGATTTGAGGTCTCCGGCTATGCATTCCGGTTGGTGAGTACTGCCCTGCAAGACCCCGGCCCGAAAAGACACTAAAGCCCCATGAACCTTCTGAAAGGGTTTTCTACCCGTGTCAAGCACAGCCTGCAAAACCAAGACCGTTGTAAATAGCTGTTGACACACATGAATGAAGCCCCAGTAAGATAGTTGAAAAGCACAAACCCAGCACTGTCGAAGAGACAACGATGACCCGGCCTGCCGACGCACACGTTCGACTGCACCTACAGGGTCGACCGTGCCCCTTCATGTATTGTTTCCGGTGCACAGCCAAGTACAGGCTCTAGGGCTTCTACGAGTGTCGGCATTTGTGTGTGTGTGTGCGCGCATCGAGCACAACTTTAAAACAAATCCAGTCAAGCCAAGTTCGTCGGTGCGCCTGCTTGGAGCCACTGCAAGTCAACCACACAAGCCAGGCACCGTCTTGAAGCCGATGTCAGGGGTTAGGGGCTTCAGGATCTAAACCTTACTAGCACAGCAAGCCCTTGCCTGAATCAAGCGAGGTGTGGCCCCATTACCCTCGGCCCCGGTATTCCTGGACACCGAGGCACTAGTAGCGGGACATTTCCCGCTGCCACAGCATCTAACACGGCTGCATCCACCTCAGAAACCAAGGGTGGCTTCAAACTCCCACAGCCTAGACCCTCATTCCATCCTTCAAAGTCCAGCTTCACAGGGGATAGAGCATGCAAACGGTCTGCATTTCTCAAGCTTCCAGCTTCGTTTTAAGCCCCCAAGAGGTGAGTACCTGGAAACCCGAGATCTACAACGGACTTGGCTACCAAAAGCACGGCAAGGGACATGGACAATTCGCATCTTATAGGATTGCAGTCTTAGCTTCCTAATCGCTTCGGGCTTAGGAATGCCCAAATTAGGACAAAACACGCCAGAAGAGGGGCCACAATGTCCAACATAATGATCGGCCCCCCGGCACCATACGTCCCCATACAAACACAGGCCCAAGCACAGTCAGTCCCGATCAACCAACTGCCCAACAAGCATGAACCTCGGCATCATGATCGTTACCACTATCGCTGAAGTCATCACGATCATCACTGTCTCTATCATCATCTCCACTGTCCGCATACAGTACCACCGTCAGCATCATCGTCGTCGCGATCCTCATCATCATCATCACCCGCAAAACCATGCAGGGCTCGTGGCAACGACGATTTTCTAGGCACAACATCCATCAGAGCGATTATGTAAGAAGTCGGCGACGGCAAGCTCTTGGCAACAACAAAGCAACATGCCGTGCAACTATCGCACCAATGCTGCAACATGACATCAGCAGCGCGCACAGAGGCACACAGGGTAAATCGCCTGCGCGCTGGCCTTGTGCTTCGAGTTGCTGGCTTAAGGATTTCAGCCGAACCAACGGCCGAGAGTCCGTCAAACAGAATATTTCTATATCCGAAACCCATAGATCTACTTCTCCTTTGCGGCTGCGGCGGCATTGCCGAATCCGTCCCGGACAGTATCGACGGTCGATATGAGCAGCTGGGCAAATGGCACCCAAAGGTCTACCACACCTGGGCCATGCTTCCAGGAAATCAACAAAGCTGTTGGTGCATCTTGTATCCTGCTTGCTGATCACTGCCCACCACTACCATCGTACGAAAGGGTCGGCTGCCGTGTATATGTGCCAGTTCGCCTGACTATCCCAAGCATCATGACTACTTCCTCCCATTGCCGGGATAAGTTTTTACAAACGACTAGCGCTGTTTCGCCGATATTTTAACAACCTGCCGTGTGATAATTTCTAGTGACGTCCGGTTGCAATATCCTCACCATCACTGGCCGGTCACCGCTCTTGCCAACTATGCCATTCCTATCATGGAAAACAGTAAAACCTTATTGCTACTACTGCCGGGCTTGTCATACAACCACCCCGCCCATGGAGTAAAAGAAGAGGACGGGTCGGAAAAGGCTGCTGGTTCGAGAAGAAGATAGAACCTTTGCAGCGATCAGCCAACCTGTCCCGACAAGCATTGCAGCAGCCGTTGCTAAAAGCAACTGTCATCACTGTCATCACATATGACTAGCACCAGCAATTCATCGAGACATCGTCAGCATCCATTTTTTTGCTCCCTACCGAAAGCATGAACGCTGTAATTCCGATCTATGCTGCCCTCGCCATGATCCCTTTCATGTCATTGCTGTCGTTGTTCTTGGTGCTGCAGTTGCAACTTGTGCCAGGAGAACGACACCAACTACAAGGTCTATGTGTCACGCAATGATGCGCGTCCGCCATGCAAACTCTTCCGCAGCCTTGGAATGAAGTTCGAACGAGATCTGAAGGTGCGCCGAAAATGTTCAGATCCTGCACGAAGGCTTTCAGGCTGGCTATCTTGGGGTCCTAGAGGTTGAGGGTACAGATTGAGTGGCCCGGCTCTGAGGTCTTTGTGATATTCTGAGCCCCTGAACCGGACAAAAGAGAATGAACCGAGAATCCCGGAAACACCCCGAACCCGCTTCGTCCCGACAAATTCGCAGCCCCGAACACTACTACTTGCGAACGCCGACCCCTGTCAAAGCTCCGGATTGCCGTTGATGAGGGCGTTCAGGGAGACGTTGAACAAGTTGATGCTGCCCATCCTGAGCTCTGGATAATCACAATCTGGTTCAGGCGGGAACCTGAACGCAGTCCTTGAAAGCCCGGAACCTGCAATGCCCCCAACATGCAATTCCGCAGCGGATCTCGCAAGCCTGCAGTCATTATGTAACACTTGCGTATACTCCATGATCTGACAAGGCCTAAGGCCCAACAGGTTTATTCGAGACTTTAGCTGGAGTGCCAGCTTCCATCATGATTTTGTTTCTTGTGCAGGGTTGAGAGTTAGGGATCTCCGGGATGGATTTGTAAAGTTCTGGGATCAAGGCGTTTCAGAAACAGACGCATGGCTCCCAGCATTGGGAGTTTGAAACCCGAGTGTCTGAGATGTCTCAGAAGCTGCTCGAGGGTGGAGCTGAAAATTCTACTTCGAGGCACCAGCTTGCAGGATCAGGGCTTTAACTGCTGGCTTTCAAGGATGAGGCGCACGTGTGAGTACATGTATGAACCTGACGTACTCCCCACGTCTACATATATGTATATAGACATGTGTATATATATATATACATACATAAATACATAAATACATATAAGCATATATGCATACATACAAAGATTCATAGATACATATAAACACATATACATCGACACATCTACACATATACACATATACTAGACACATAGACACATTTACACATGTACACATGTACGCATATACAAATACACAAATATGCAGACACTCATAGTTTTTCCCTGTGGGTCTAGTTCTGGGGGTCAGGGTCTTATGTTCTTATGTACCAGGAGAAACTTTTATGGGTAAGGTCTCGGGCTAGTTAGTACTTGTTCGGATGCTTCGTGTGTAGTGATCGCGCTCACATTGACTATGTCGTTTGCTTCCCTGAGTCTTGCTACTGCTGCTGCGATTTCTACGAGTATCAGGATGGTGTATGCGCTGCGTGTGGTCTGCTGCTGCTGTTGTGTATCGCGATGAGTCGTGCTACTGCTGCTGCGATTACTATTGCGATGGTGTGCGCTATGTGTGTGTGTGTGTGATTGATGTTGTGCGAAATTTCGGTTGGTCTGCGACGGGGCCGGATGGGGCCCAGCAGGGGCAGAATGCGTGTGCCTCAGGCCATCCTTCCGCTGTCGCTTCGTGCGGTAAGGTCTGTCGTTTTGTGCTTTAATCAAGGATTGCAGCATAAGGCTACTGTCCCATGTAGTGAAGATTGACGCACTCAGTCAGCAGATAGACTAGACAAGCAGCTGAAGGGTAGAAGTTAGGACTCAGCCAGTGGCTTTGCACCGAGCCAGGACAGAGGCCAAGCAGAGCCGCAGAAGCAAAAATCAACCCAATAATCAACCGAAAAATCATGCAACCGAGCATCATTCGTGCCTTGTTCCCTTCAGGATCAAGGCCGAGTGAAACCAATAGAAACTCCTGACGAGAATCTAGAATGCAGGCTAGAGGTGTGGGCTGTTAGGTTTTGCGTTCGATCTTGCAGGGTTTCTGCGCTGCGTCTGCACTGGTACAATCAAAGTATCAGTTTAACGAGGATTCGGACTCGAAACCCCAACCATCCGCACGGTTGGGGCCACGAAGCACTGTCGGCAACCTTGACTGCAGTCTCTTTTGCCACCCTAGCCTTCTGAGTCTTCTGATTTTGACCGCTCTTGCCTGTGATCCTGCAATCTTTGCTGTCGTTCGCAAGACTATCGTTTTTTCATTCGACTTCATCCCTCGACACATTCATAAAGCTTCTGTTTGAACGGTTGCGGGCGCGTGAAATACTAGCGGCTTGAGTCTCTCCGAGCAACTTTAGGCCGAGCGATTCAATGACCGAGGTCAGGGTACCGTGGGTGCACCACATGCTCAATCGAACGGAGATATACGTTGACACAGCCAAACGTACTGCATGGTGCGCTGAATCCGAAACTCAGAAGCTACACTGACCAATCGACCATAACCTCCAATGACTCCAATGCCAATGCGCTCAGGGTTCAAAGCCGTGAAAGGCGGCTACCTTCCGACTCTCAACACCGTGCTGTAGGCTCAACTTGTCAGCAAGTCTAAAAAGTGACACCCTGAGCTGCACTTCACGATCTCCTTCGACATACGCTGTGTAAGCATGCGCTGCCTTCCTGCGACGTCGATCCTGGGTGAAGGGTGTTGAGGTCCAAAGGATGTCACGTTAAGGGTTTCACATCTATTCAGGGATTTGCATTGATGATGAGAATCGGTGGCAGACGAACATCACCATGGTGATCCCACGACTAGCGATGGTACTCCAACTACGGCAATAATGCTAATATTGAACTGGTTGTGGCGATGATGCTAGTTATGATGCGGATGATAATACTAGTAGTGGATAGATGGATGGATGGATGGATGGATAGGATGGGGTGGGATGGGATAGGATGGGACGAGACGGGACAGGACCGGACTGGACGGAACAGGATGGGCTGTATAATCCGATCGCTATATTCCAACAGTTCAGAAGCGGCAGGGATTGTATTGGCACTGAAGTCCCCGCACTTGTGCTGCTTCTTCTACGGCTTCTGCGTTCTGCTAGCAATGAGTTGCTTGATCTCCGGCCCTTCGCAGAGCCTAACTCCGATAAAAAGCAAACTCGGCCATTCTGACCGTTGCCGTTGCACCATGTGGTAATCTGTGTAAATGCCCACAAAGCACACAAAACAAACAATGCTATCCTCTCAACTCGTGCAAAACCCAAAGCCTAATCTCTCACTTCTCCATGCATGACAAAGGTGCGTCGTTCCCCACGCTGCATTGGCTCCCGGCACAGACAAGGCCAAAAATAGGGCCGGGCCCATCCAGAGCCTCCGGGCACTCTGGAGTTCGTTGACAAGAGTATGGCTATAGATGGTCAGCGCTTGTAGAAGTAATTGCAAAGCGCAATGGCGCTTTGGTGTCTTGCAGATAGAGCGCAGAGCGCTTACACAACGTTTCGGAAATCGATCAGGAATGTTCCAACGGTTTTGAAGCTGCCGAGTACACTACAGATTCCACGTCCCAGGCTCAGCATTTTGCACGTAAGCCGTGCCTTGCAATATACGAAGGAACAAGAACTGTCGAGGACCCCAGTACCCCATACAAGTCGTGGCCCGGCTGATCTTCAACCTGGACCCAACCTCAACTCTGTCAACCATGAAACGAAATACACAGCAAGTGTACAGACCCAACCCGAAGACCTCGAACCCCTCAAAACGCAGTCGTGCCAGCCTCCACCTGCTCCACGCCCACATGGCTGTGCCCCGTTGCATCACCAAGAAGTGTAGGACCCTGTGGGTGCACACTCAGGTGTTTGAGCCTCATCCATGACTCGACAGTCGACGTGGGTGTGACGGGACTCCAGAGCAATGAACAACATTCACTACAACCCAACAAAATCAACGTCTGCACTACTACCAAAAAAATGTGCGCGATGCTTCGTTCTCTTATCGCAACCCGCCGTTTTACATCGCTCCTCTTCAAGCCACCGCATATCGTGCTGTTTTGGGTTCCTTCACTAAACTGTATTGAAATCAACACCGCACGCTTGCAATCCCAAACCAGAACCAATCACCACTACACAGACTAATATGACCAAAACTGAACAAGTCAGCACTTTGCAACAATCGAAACAAACCGGCCGGGTCAAAACTATGCAAACGCAGCCCATTCATTTCGGAAAAAGAGTCCGATGAAACCACACCGAAATTATTTGTGGCACAAAGCGCTTTCCACCGACACAAATGTTAAAATTCATGCAAATGTTGTCTCGAAAATCTTCCCAATTGCCGATAGTGCAGACAAGGAATGCACTGCTGGACAAAAGGCCCAAACGTGGGTGCCGAGAAGACTGCGCCCTGTAAGGATACCTGAGAAAGTTCGGAGCACCAGTTAACGGCACAAACTTTCAATGATTGATTCTGCGGAAAATTGAAAGGTGCAATCACTGATGACTGAAAAAGCATACAGTCTCTTGAAATATGCGCATCCTATCCATTTCGGCGCATTTCCTTCCGAAGAAGCCGAACAGCCTGAAACAGCGCACTTTCGAAAAAAATTCTTCGGTTTGGGTTTGTGCGCACCAAACTGCCGTGCATGGAAGGTTTCAAGTAAGCAAGAGATAGCATCGAAGAGGCTGACGGCATCGCCGGCACGGTGTCACTCCAACCCCGAACTGAACTTATGCAGAGAAGCTTTGCCAGTTCTCCAGCAAAAGCAACCAGAGCAGTGGAAAACTCGAAGGCCTGTAACACGTCGGAGCCACAAAAACCAAGACCAAAGGGCGCAATAAATCACCCAGAATGGTTCCAGCTGCTGCGGGCGTCGGCAGTTACAACTGCACTCAGTCTCCAGTTAAATCACAAAAATCACAAGCACGTGCAAACAAGGTGAAATGGGTGGCACAGACCGAACTACAAGAACAGACTGCGGCAAGTTGGCTTTGCCCACTGAAGCGCTTCAATCCAGGAAACTAACGATCGGGCTCAGCAGCCGATCTGGAGCAGCAGTGGGTCGGCACCCAAGGCTGACCGGTCAGAGGAAGAGCCAAATCCAAGCTCCGGCAGCCACTCGAGTCGTCCCGTCGGACAATGGACTGCCCCCTGGTGACCATTCCATTTCGGCAGAGCACACCACAGTCCACAAAAATCCAAGGCATTGCTCCATGCTGGATGCACGGAGATGGGGTGATAATCACAAGCAGCGCATTGGAGGGCACATCGCAGCTCGGTATGCCACACGGCACACTCAATGGGCCCGACAAGCAGACTTACCGCCAGTTTGCAGATCCACGGCTCTGCGTCGATGATCGGGATGGCCAACTATCCAACCGCTCGCGAAAGCCAGAGGCGGCTGGCAACTCATATTCTGTCTCTATACATCCCGCGCAAACCTACCACCAAGCTAGCACCTTCCATTATACTGGACACGGGTCGGAACGTCCTTGTTGTCCGACGAGGAGAGGCCCGCGTTCTCGGGACCAACTCAAAACTAGCGCAAGCAGAACTACAACTACTCAATCACTCCTAACGCAGTCACAGACCTACAAAACACTGCCCTACACTCTCAAGCACTTCAAGAGGCTTTCCACTGAAAGCAAATTCTCCAGCTGAGCCTCCAAGGCACAACTACAGAAACAACTGCACACACAAGAGCAGGCATGCAGGACAACCGAAGTACCATGTCTTAAACATGAATTTTCTGACCAAGCGCGCGAAGGGTGGCATGTGCAAAAAATTGTAGGGTAGTCTATCTACAAGTTTACGGGGGTCTTGGCCATGCGAGGGTTTGGGGAAAGATTAGGCAGGACTTCGGGGAGGAGCTATAACGGAGACTTTGCGAAGGAGTTATGGTTTTTCTCGAGTGCAGCAGTCAGTCATTGACAGTCTTCTTGTTTGCATATTGAGAAACCTCCCCCCCGCCCCCTCAAGTTCAATGTGTGCCGCAATGTGTGCCGCAATGCTCATTGGGCGCTTCTATGTACATTGAATTTGGGGGGAGCGGGGGGTCTGGAAGGTTTCAAGATTTGTGGACAAACAATTCCAAAATTTTAATATCTTGAGCATAAACGGCTGCCGGTTAGGAATCACGTTAGGAAGCTTGGGCTTTCGGCTTGAACGCTCAACCCCAAACAGGCACAGAAGGGGTACTCAGCTCTCGCAATGCTCTGCTGTTTTTCACCGGCGGTGACAAGGGGTACCTTTGTGCGAAGAGGCATTTAGCCTCATACCTGCAGCTACGGCTACAAATGGCGGAACAATCATCGCCCGGCGGAACAATCATCGCCTGCCCAGGAATGTGTCTGTTTGGCGGAACATTCATCGCCTGCAAAGGTGTGTATGAAACTGATGTCAAGAAGTATCCCCCCTCATACCTGCAGCTACGGCTACAAATGGCGGAACAATCATCGCCCGGCGGAACAATCATCGCCTGCCCAGGAGTGTGTCTGTTTGGCGGAACATTCATCGCCTGCAAAGGTGTGTATGAAACTGATGTCAAGAAGTTCAAGAAGTAGCCCGATGTCAAGAGAGATCCCCAACTCTTTTGGTGCGGGTGGGTGGGCAAGAAAAATTTCTGCAACTTAACATGCGCAAAGTCAATGGCTTGTTCACAGCTGGATAGCATGTTGTGTCACTCGAAGCTTATGCACGATCGGCTTCAAACTACCTTGAGATGTCGAGCGCGGGTACAAAAGATGCAAGATAGCGCCACTTGGGCTAATGTTGACAGAACATTTTTCGGCAGCCGTTTTCCTTAAAAATCAAGCCCGATTTTCAAGAAAACACAAGCTCAAGATATTAAGGGACTATCAGCGCACGCACTGACGGCCTCCTTAATATCTTGAGCATAAACGGCTGCCGGTTAGGAATCACGTTAGGAAGCTTGGGCTTTCGGCTTGAACGCTCAACCCCAAACAGGCACAGAAGGGGTACTCAGCTCTCGCAATGCTCTGCTGTTTTTCACCGGCGGTGACAAGGGGTACCTTTGTGCGAAGAGGCATTTAGCCTCATACCTGCAGCTACGGCTACAAATGGCGGAACAATCATCGCCCGGCGGAACAATCATCGCCTGCCCAGGAATGTGTCTGTTTGGCGGAACATTCATCGCCTGCAAAGGTGTGTATGAAACTGATGTCAAGAAGTATCCCCCACTTACCCGTCTTATCATTTACCTTTTTGTATTTTTTGGAGGGTAATCCAGGACACCACTGCGTCCTTCACGCTTCACGCGAAGGCTTGTCCGATGTGTTTGATGGGCGTGGAAAAGCGAGGCTCATTGACACTTCACATGGAGGCTCATCTGCCATGCTGGCCGGGTGTGGCACCTTAGGTGGACTAAGAGAGGGTGGTGGTCGACGAACGCGCCGTTGAAGAGAGATGCTGTGCACTGCATACACGATTGTAGCATTCCGTGATGAACCGCCGATTGACACGCCTTGGGCGGAGCCGCAACATGCATAAGTCCCCGAAGGTTTCCTTCCCGCCAGTCTTCCCCCTGGGTGCGGACACTGTTGTGACAGTGCCTCAAAGATGGTAAGTTAGCAATAACTGTTGCTTTTTGGGCAGAGAGAGCAAGCGCTCGAACCCAGAGCCCTTTTGTGGCTTAGAAGTCGGGTGCTAAGGGCACCATGCCACAGGTAGGGGTGCGATTGCTGCTTGCGTTGTCGGCAGCCCATCATGGAGGCGGCTGGCTCTTCGAGCGGGGCAATGTGACTGGGCGACCCGAGGAATCTCCCAGGGCAGACGGAGCCTCTTCTCGCTGGGCACAGCTTCGCGATTGGGCGGATGAACGCCTCCCTAGTGGCGAGGATCTGCGGGGTCTTTGGGCCGCCTGGTTCGAAGGGCCAGGAGGTGATCCGCCGGGGCCTCGCTCTTGGTCGTGGGACAGCGGTTTGTGCATGGTCCTCGACACTCTTGTGAGTTGCATCGGCTGGGCTTTGTTTGGAAGTGCATGGCCCAATGTTCGAACAGGCTGCCAAAGGGCCTTCAGGCTTGTGATGCTGATGCTACTGTGCCTTGGGGCACACTACCTCTGGGCCCTGTGCTGGCCCGTCATTTCGCTCGTGACCTTCATCGTGATGTGTGTCGTCTGGACTGTCCGGGTGTCGGTTCGAAAGATCGGGACACTCGTCTACTGGGCTCAGCGGGCGGCTGGTGGGGTTCCCGAAGCTGCCGGGGCCGACTTCATCGGACCAGGTACCGGGAGAATCCCTGAAACTGCTGACCTCCGCCTGTTCAAGTCCACAGCGGGCGGCGACAAGTGGGCTTTGGTTCGAAGAGAAGGGCACGTGGCAGTCTTCAAGGTGGGCTCGGAAAATCAAACGATTCGCTCGCCAGGGCTCTTCGTCCCAGTGGAGGCAGACACGCTCCGAGGCAGCCCGGTGTTGATTGACGCCTGCAAGGGTGTGGACAAGGTCCATCTATGCAGGCACCTGGTGTGCACCGAGGAGGGCCAGCACTTCAAGGAGTATGCCGTGGCCCGCGACTTCGACCCGGAGAAGTTCCACCTGAAGAACGCGGAGTTGGAGGCGACGAAGGCTGGTCGGACCTTGTGGGCTGGCAGACTTCCCCCCCGAAGACCCATCGGGAGCCCGTGTAAGCATCTACAAGAACCGCGCCCCAGGTACCTCGCCCCTTCTCGAAGGCTCCATCAGTGTAGAGCACAATCGGCGGCAGAATTGTAGCTGGGCACCGCTTTGGCCTGCACTGCGCAATGACATCCAGAGCTAACGCACAAGCCAGTCGAAGTTCGAGTGTACTGCCTTGGAAAGGCCCCGACAAGGCCCGGGACAGCATTCGCGACGTTGGCTTCAGCTCGAAGCCCATAATCAATCCACCTGCGAAGTTGATCAAGCCGTGCAGCGAGGCCACATCAGATCTCGTCACAGCTCCGCCCTGGGCGACTGTTCGGAGGAGCTCCGCAATCTTTTCAAGACGTCCCGCTTTGTTCTCGACCTTGAGAGTGCCTCCCCATATCTCGTCAAGGCCCAACGAAACACCCAAGGAGACCACCTTGTTGTCAAACGGCACAAACTTCCGCCCAGACTTCGCGTAGGTCCACCCTAGCAGGTCCAGCAGCCTCATCAGGACTTTGTCCAGCAGGAATGCAGCTGGGCGAAATTCATATACAGTGTAGTCGTCGTAAAAGTCGGTCGCGATTGCAGCGAACTTGACAACCATGATGTGAAGAATCGCAAGTGCAACTTTGTTGAACCCATACACGCTTGCAGCAGCTCCAAAAGGCAGGCTCTGGGCTATGTAAAATTCCCACTTGCCTTGTGGGTCGGGGAAGCCAAGAACAGCGTGCTCCCTCGTGGAAGGATGGATGCTCACCTGGCGATAGGCTTTACTCAAGTCCAGCGTCTTGCCGAGTAGAGCGGGCTGGCGGAGCATCTCGGGATCCCAGTTCCCCTCGAGCACGGTGCCATCAGACAAGGGGACCCGGACCTTGGAGCGATCCTGCAGCACACGGGAAAGGAACCTCAGGAGGCCGACCGCGTAATCCGTATCCTGAAGCTCTAGGAAAGACGAGGAACCAAAGGCCCTGTTAACCGCCGACATTTTAAAGTCGTCAATTATCCTTATCTTGGCGTCTTCGCCCTGCCTCAACAGGAAACGAGGCGAGAGCGACCAAGCATCGGTCTTCAAGATGTCGCTGACTTCCTGCTCCGAGTGGTATGGACCCGTGAGGAAACCCTCTGCCAGTTCCTCGGAAGTCTCATCTTTCATCGCCTTGTAATCCTGTTCGGAAACAAGTCCTTTCATCTTCTGCAATGCGCGCCGCCGCAGTAGGGCCTGGGCTTTAAGCTGATCTGGCTCAAGGTCCATGGGCTTCGGCCGCTTTGCAAACAAAGGGGACTCAGCTTCCTGACCAACTAAGGGCACACCGTCGGTAAGAAGGTCGACCACTGACATGTCGGGAAAGCCTGTTTCCTCAAGAAGCTCGCGAAACAAAGCTAGGGCCTTGCCCTTAGTGACTCGCTCCACATCCGGATGCATTTTGGCTCGAAGCTCTTTCTCAGTGGCAGACAGCACCGCCATCCGGTCATTCAATTTTTTCAGTTCAAGCATCCGCCGCTTTGACACAGCCACTGGGCCTTCCGTGAGCGTGGCAAAAATGTTGCGGCGAACAGCATCGGGCAAACGAGCACTGTTGTCAGCTGGGCAGGTCAGCCCACATGCGCGATGCAGGTGCTCCTCCATGGAGAAATACACACCTGCCAGATCTCCGGCTCTACCATCTCCTTGCATCCGGACCCTCTTAGAAGGATTGGGCTCATCATTATCCCCCGGCTCATCATTGTCCCCCGCACTAGAGCCCCGGCCTTTGGAGAGTATTTTGTAATCAGCTCCACTCGGTACTTGGGACAGAGGAACCCTAACCCGAAACTCAGGGATTAAGGGAGGCATGTATGTGGGTTGGTTGGCCGCTGCCGCTCGCACCTGAGCTCGAAGTCGGCGGCTACGCAGGAGGTCGACTCTTTGGGCCTGGAGACCTCGGCAGACTGCTGTGGCGGAGCGACACAGGGTCCGGCACAGCTCAGCAGGCAGGGAGGCATCACTGAAACCCGTTCCTGCAGAAGGGGGAATCCAAGGCATGTGTTTATGGGACTTATCACAGGGACGGCCAAGGTTTGGGAAAGATGAAGAGTCGGCTCGGATGCGCAGCGATGTCAAGAATGGGGCACCGAACATGCAAGTATCAAGCTCCTGATCGGCCAAAGCGAAGAACCATTGCAGAAAGTCCTGATGCTGCCTCTGCTTGACGAAGTGGGCTAAGAGGCTCCAAACCCAACTCCGGGCCGGCCCGATCAAGCTGACCAGGGCCCGAGTCTCATAAGCTCGGAACAGCAGGTCGACCACGGCTTGCAGTAAACTGTTTTCATGCTGCACCAGCGAATCGGCGCGGGCAGGAAGGCCGTCGCGCCCTAGCAAGTGAGAGGCGTCACGAAGGCTCGCACGTCCTCGAGAATCACGCCCCTGATTGCAAGATTTCATGAACAGATTGAAATGCCACCAGTCGACAAGTGTATGGCGATCAAAGTCAAGCAATGTTTTCAGATCATCTTTCGCGGAGAGGTCAATCGGCACTCGGGGACAGCACTCAGGGGCACCACGTTTGTGGCCCAATGGCAAGGCATCCCAACCAGCCTGCAGGGCGGCGGCCGATAAAGATCCCGAGACAGCGAGGCAATCGGCCAGCATGGGCGGACGAGGGACCGAAGAGGGGCCCTGATTCGACAGGGGGTTGCAGCCCTCAACGGTCCCGAACGAGGCGGAAGCGGCACTTCGCTGATGTGCACTGGGATCCGGACAAGGCGGTGATTTGGGATCGCCGGGATCCGATGAAACCTGGTCGGATTCCGAAGACTCGGACGAGGGAAATGATTTTTGCTCGGAGGCAGGCGGAGCTGGCTCTTTCAGGGGGAGAATCCGACTCATCTGGTCAGTCACTGGAAGCTGTTGTGATGAGCAGACCTCAGTTGAAGCTAACTGCGAAGCATTGGGCAACGGGAAGCCCAAATCAAGCAAGACCTGTTTGTCGGCTCCGGAGATTCGCTCTCCGGCCTGCAAAGCAAAAAGCACCAAAACAACTCGGCGCCCGGTGGCTGGCAGAGTGCAATGCTCATACCCTCGCGCACAGAATTTAATGGGCCCGCGAGACACTTCCAAGTCCACAGTCTGGCCTGGCTCGCTTACCCTGACAGCTCCCCCTTGGAAAACGGTCAAAGGAATGACATAATTGTCGGAGAAAAGGAATTCTGACTGTCTCGGTGTGGCCGAGTGCGTACCTGATCAAAAATGGCAAAACTGGTGTAAACGGCACCATCAAGCAAAGAGGCTACAAACCTGTTCACCACGCGCACCGTTTGTGGAAAAAGCCTACAAGATTTGCGACGGCTCACCTTAACTCGAGAGTACATCCCTGCCGAAAATGAGCGCCCTTCGGCGTCTCGGTCGCACTGCTCATGCGGCAAGGCATCAAAAAGCCTCATCACTTGCTCAGCGGTAACAGGCGTGCTCTGAGCTAAGATTTGCTTGGCGAAAACCTCGGGCGAGGGCGAGGCTAGTCAATGCTTGCACTCACTGTAGGGCCTTTCTGCCCCGCACCCCCTGAAGTTGCACACATGCTTTCCGAAGCGGCACGACTTGCGCTTCTGGAAGCGACAGATCCCCTTGTTGTAAAATGGGCAGATGAAACGCCCATCATCGTTGGCCCGCACGCAGCCCTCGGGTAACGACTCCAGCAGCTCCTTCAGGGACGGTTGCGAGGAGGCATCAGCCTGGCCCTGGCTGTGATTCTGCTTCCCTTTGCCGCGGCCTTTGCCCTTGGTACCCTTCTCTCCCTTCTGATTGCCCTTGTCGGGTCCCTTATTCGGCTTCCACGGTTGGGCCTGGTTCTCGGCAGGCTTAGGAAGGTGTGTCAGGCAGGATACCACAAACTGATTGGTTGCAGCAGCGGCTATGTGCTTATCAAGAGGAGCCGGGGCTCCGACTCCGACGACGATGTCACCTCGGCTCTCCTGGGCCACCACCTGCCAAAGCTTCTGGTCAGCTGCGAGCAGCTGCTGAACGGTAGTGTAGCGATAACCCGCCGGAGGCACATCAAGCAGAGCCTGGAACATGCGGTTGTGCCAAGACTCCATTGCAGTGAAGGAGGCGAGCCCTACTTGATCGAACGCTAAGGCCCGGCGCAGGAAGCACCGGCGAAGCTTGAGCTCGCCGGTAGTCTCGCACCGGAGACTCGAGGCTTGCTTCGTGATCTTGATGTTCCCGTCAGCTCCCAAAGAGAGCTTTTGCTCCGTCTTCTCACCCAGGATCTCGTCATGGCGGGAAATGCACTTTTCCGGTGCGATGTGCAGCACTTGTGCAGAATCGAGCATGGCCTGGACGCGGTCCACAAGGCCGTGTCCAGGTTCTGTGTGGATATCCATCTCGAGGCCTTTGAGCTCGCCCCTTTGGCGTTTCAAGCGTGTTACCCTGACCCTGCTGTTTACCTAATTTTAGGTGGCGAGCAATTTACTAAACAAAGCTTGGTTTACACTTCAAATTTACGAAAAAATTTACGTAAAAAAAAGTGTAAATTAATTTACTTTGTATAGTAAAAAATTTACACTGCAATGTAAATTTTTTTACACTGCAAAATACATGTTTTTAGGTTACACATTCCCGAATTTGAAGAAGTGAAATGCAAGCTAATTTTGGTTGGTTTTGTTTCTTTTATCATGGTTCTGCTTGTTGATTGCATGAGATTTTCCTGCGACTGTACAGTGCGGCATGGTCAGGTGTGAAGATAAAATTATGAGAATTGTGTTGCAAGCATACTTGTTAAGCCATGGTTTTCCATGTTGAAATCGCAGCTCGGTTTGATTCTGTGCTGGGTCGAGCCGGCGGATTGCTTGCGATGTGTGCTTTTTACATGCGAGAAATCGGTACATGTACATTTGCGAGAGTCATCACAATATAGTTTATACCTGCGAGGAGTCCACCTTTACCTGTGCGAGACTCTTGTAGGTTACATGCGAGAGATCTACTTATATATATATATATATATATATACTTTTCTGAGATCCGAGAGTGAGAAAAATTTTCGGACGTTGCAGCTGTGTGTTTGGTCCAGACGAGACCCAGAGGTAAGTGCGAGGCTGGATGGAGACAGAGACAAATGCATTCCATTTTTTTGAGAAATCATAAACCCTATACATTTTTTGCTGTAGAAAAACTCAAAACCCAAATTCAAGCGAATATAAGTTGCACTCACTCCGTAAGTATAAAAGTCAATCAACTCATATCGTATCGCATCACTCGGACCCTTCTTTTCTTTCAGGGGGCGCACCGGGTTGCCCGGCCTTAGGCCGCGGGCTAGGCGCACTGCCAACATGCTGTTCGCATGTTGGGCCAACGTAGAGCACAGCCTACGGAGTGGTGCACAACTGGAATCGCAAGATCGGCCCCAAGCGATCTGAAGTCTCGACGGGTGTGGTGGGAGGGTAGTCGAGACCCATCTCCCACTCTTGAGCAGCAATGTAACACGACGTGGACATTTCACATGCTCTTCAAGGAAATTTCTTCTCTCAAGAAATCACTGCTCGAAAATACATTGCTTAAAGTGGGAGAGGCAGCACACGGGTTAGGGCATTAAGGTTTTTGAGTTTTCTTCGCTCGCCGCCACGGCGGCTCGTCACGAACGCAAAAAGGTACTAGCTGTCGTCGCAGGCTAGACAGCAAAGGTACACACAGTATATACAGTCTTGCGAGCATGGCTTCCTTAGCAGCTGCAGCTTCGGTCAAGCTGGCGGACGGCGCTTCCGTTGCAACGGGCAAAAATGCCAAGGACCGAGTGGTTGCCGATCCGCTTATTACAGCAAAGGAGCTGGCGGATGTGGTGTTTGGCTTTCTCGAGTTCAAGAAGACGAAGGACCTGTGGCCTTTACTGTGCCCCCCTCCGGGCGGGCCAATAAGCTACACTTGGCACACTGCCGCCCACGGTCCGTGGTTGGCAAAGACAGCTGGGCTGCTGTTTGACCTTCTTCGCCTCGCCCCGAACACGAAGTTGTTGTCGCAGCGGGTTACCCGAAGCTTTTGGATCCTTCACGAGCAAAAGAACCTGCTGCTCGAAGGCCACAAAGACTACAAGGCAGAGGACCTTGTGGACAAGATGGACACCGCCATCCGTCTTCTTCTTAGCCACCTCCGTGCGATGAAGCAGAAGGAGAGCTTCAAGCGGAAAGTCTACAGGTCCCTGTCGCACGAGGATCAAGTGTGCAGTGGCTGCACATATATGTTTTTCGTGTTTTTTCGCTGTATATATAATTCGTGTGACGGAACAAAGAAGTGTTGCAAACTTTTTTTTACCTATAAGTCTGTGGAAACATACAATCAGGAAGCTTGACCTTTGCCTGGAAAGGGTGCAGGTGCAGGAGTTTGCCCCGAAGCCTCTTGATTCCCCCAGCACGGCCCTTGTTCCCGTGAACGAGGATGAGAAGCCTGTTCCTTTTCGTGGTGACGAGAAGCTTACTCCTTTGCAGGATTTTGAGTTCCCGGAGTTGCCGGAAATCTTTAAGAACAGCAGCCCGACCAAGTTTCCGGACACCTTGAAGAGCAGCGAGCCGAAGAAGTTTGCGGAGAAGTTTGTGCACATCCATAAGAGCAGCAAGCCGAAGAAGATCGTTATGAAGAAGGGCACCCTGAAGAAGAAGGCCACAAAGGCAAAGAACAAAAAGGCAGGAAAGGCAAAGATCAAGACTGGTGCCGGGGCTGAGCCGGCCAAGGATGTGGAAGTGATCTCTTCCACGGATGAGTGCGACTTGGACATCCTCAAAAATGCCATGGCTTTCATGCCGCCGGTGTCTGTGGCTGTGGCCAAAAAGAAGGGTGCTTCGAAGCCCAAAGCCACCGGCAAGCCGAAAGAGAAGAGCCCCAAGCCCAAAGCCACAGCGAAGGCGAAGTCGGCGGCGAAGACGAAGGTGGCGAAGCTGGCGGCGAAGCCGAAGCCGGCGGCGAAGCCGAAGCCGGCGGCGGCGACTTCGCCGTCTAACAAATGGCTGTCCGCCGAAAAGTACGGATCTTGCAAGGTAGAGTTCTACTCTGAGAAATCCTACATCCGCAACTACGATAACGGCGGCAAGCTGAGGAGCATCATTTCCAGTTGCTGTCCGAAGCATCATGAGGTGATCGAGAAGATGATTCCCTACGTCGAGCAGGGCTGCGACAGGACGTCATGAAGTCGCTGGGGGTTTGAAAACCAAAATGTGTTCAGTGCGGGATGATGTGCACCCTGGGTTTTCTGAACTTTGTAGACTATATAACAATCTGAGTTTCAAGCATATATATGTTGTATATAAACGTGGTTTGTTTTCCCACAACTCTGAGAAAACCCATGGGTGCTAGTCACGGTGTGTTTCTATATGTCTTTCGTTTACATGTAGAGCACTACATCTGCCACAATGCCATTTAGCATAATGCATCTTTGGCCCTTTTAGTGAGAAGCACAAAAAGGGTGAACCTTCCGGCAGCAGAGGGGCAATGACTGCGAGAAAAAATGTTTCTTGCATTTGTGTGTGTGTGTGAGGTTGAGTGCTTCCTGTTCTGTGTGATATATGTATTTGATCCCTATCATATACTGTATATATAAGCCTTTGTAACCCCGAAACCACCAATAGCCTAAAGCCTCAAAGCAGGTTTACTTGCGACGGTGATTTTTGTATATGTACTTGCGATGAGTTCTGCTTTTTACCTGTGCGAGTGTTTCCTTTTACATGCGATGTGAGGAGCTTTGTATATTACTTGCGAGATTTTCCTTGTGTGCACCTTTACATGCGATGGGGAGCTTTGTGTTACTTGCGAGATTTTCCTTGTGCAGCTTTACATGCGATGGGGAGCTTTGTGTTACTTGCGAGATCTACCTGCGAGTGTGTCTTGCCTTTAAAGCAGTATTTCACAAAAACCCTCAACCCTCACTAAGCCCTAAAACCCAAAACTAATTTTAAACCCATAAACCCTATATAAACCCCAAAACCCGAAACCCCAAACCCGACTCCCCAAACTTAAACCGCAAACCGACAGCCCGGATTCCTTGTGAGCCCCCAAAAAAACATTCTCCAATGTCTAACACTTTCGAGTTGGAATTGCTTGAGTGCAGAGAATGCCGGCTGAAGAGGTTTATCGAGGCTTTTTTGCGAGATGATGTTGGAGCCGAAACTTGTGGCCGTGGTCGCTGTTTCCTTTACAGCAGGAGAGACTCTAGTTTTGCGACGTAGTATCTCCTACACACGATGTGTTCGACACGATGTCACCACCATGTGCCGATGCGGCTTATCCTCACAGTATTTGTAGAAGGTTTGGATTGTAGATAGCTTCGCATAGATGCTCTGGACTTTTAAAGCATACAACCCAAAGCCATTACCGAGTTTCGGGTGTCAGGCTTTCGGCGCCGGGGCTAGGCTCTAGGCACATTTTTATCCACAAAGAATAAAGGCTGTTCACTTTGGGTGTTCTAACATATATAGCAAGTTTTGCTTCGCGGCCATGGCAACTGTCGACTGCTACCGTGTCTACGTGAAGAATGTCACGTACAGTGCGACGAAGTGGGCCACTCGAAAGAAAAGTAGCTTTGGGTTTAGGGTTTAGGGTTTAACATATATACTTTATATGTACACAATATGTAGATATAGATAAACTCAATACACGTCTATTGGCCACAATCTGACACTCATTACTTTTCTTTTGTGTCTAATTATATATGCTTATATCTACACATATATACAAAGGGTGAGGTTGGTACACATATAGACAGGCATACATATATGTAGTTACATGAGAGAGAGCCGAGGCGATCAGAGCTGCGATCGAAGAGCTCGGGGTGCTGGACTGCCGCAACATCCAGGTCGTGAGGGAACGGTACTGGGAGAAGAAGCTGCAGCGGCCAGATCACTGCAGCCTCTTCTTGGAGTTCGCAACTTGGTTTTTTTAGAGGATGCTGCGACCCCTATATAAACCCTAAACCCTAAACCCTATAAACCCCAAACCCTTAACCCCCAAACCCTAAACCAAAGGACTCGGCGGATGCGGCTGAGCTTGCCCGGGCTTCGCTCGACGGGCAATGGCATGGGCGGATGGCGACGAACAAGTACCTGGTGGCAGAGCTGGCGAAGCCGCCCCCTTCGAAAGCTTCGAAGGAAGACGAGTCGTGGGGCAAGTGGGCGCCACCAGCCCAAGAACAGCCGCCTTGGAAAGGTCCTCCGCCCACCCCCCCTCCACTGGGCCAGGCACCACCGCCATCCCAAAGCCCACCAGAGCCCAATGTCCCAGAACCAGCACTCCCACCAAAAGCCAAAGCAATGCCGACCCAGCCCCCGTACCCACCGCCGCAACACCTTGCACCACCACACCCAAAGGTTCCACCTGAGCAACTTTACGGTTTGGAGACGGTGAA